GAGCGCACGAGTACATAATGGCGCGCTCGAGCCGGGGCCGGGGGCAGGAGCGTGCGGGGCGCGGGGCGAGGGGCGAGGGGGCGGAAACAATACCCCACGTGTTTATGGAATACTTCACTGTTCGTTATTTGCTTCGCGCTTTTGACAAACTCGAGTTTTTATATAATTTAGGACAAAATTATTTTGTTTTCTAATTTCAGATTATATTCCAAACAAGGGTATTAACAAGTTTAAAAAATATATATAAAGAAATGTTTGCGTGTGTTGATACTTTCTCATCCCCTCTGAACCATACAACCAAAAAATATGACACTATTCTAAAAATATTATTCTATTCGCGAGTGACAAAATCGTCCTCGTTCTATGCAACCCTGCGTTTCATTCGTCAAGCTTTACACCTAAAATAGCAATCAATCACAAAGCCGACATTTCTTAAAATGAATGTTCCATTTTGTCAATTTAGTGAACATATTTAAGGCTTATAAAAGTTTAACAGCTAATAGTTCTGGAGTTTATATTAGAAAAATAATTGCATACAAAGCGCGCTCGCCTGCTGCCGCCTCTGACGTGTCCTGCCGCCACATGCTCACCGGCCGACGTGATCGAACACTCGTTCGCTGCTCGAATCATTAAATATCACTTATATTCGACTAACTTTAACGCATTCAACAAATGTGCTTCAAACCATTTGATGTTATTACTTATTGAATCACACAAAAGATATAAAAATATCTCTTTCATTTTCAAATTTCTTTTCAATTTCACAACGAAGAATATTACTCACTTATGTGAACTATTCCTTCCAGCTAGTTCAGATCGATTGAGTGTTTTAACTTTACGAGCTCAAAGTTCTATTTTCAACAAAAAAATATATTTTTTATTTTGAATACTAATAAAGAACATATTTTAATATGCAAGGATAAAATACGCTGTCAACGAGGCAGGAGCTCCTGTTGCCTCTTAGCAGACGTCGTCAATATTTCACGACCGCCGCGCCGCCGCGCCGGATGCTGCAGCAGTGAGGAGTGAGGCAGCGAACATAAACATGTCTTGGATCCACAACTGCTCGAGTGCAATTTGTTGAATGAGTTTTTAATATGAAGTGTGAAGGCAACCTCTCACCCCCCCCCCCCTAACTGCTGCTTGTAACTCTTACAAATACAAATCCTATTTTTATAATGTACCTTTGTATCTAATATTTTAATGCATATTGTAATAGAATAATACCCACTACTTCAGTTTTTTACTTCACGTGACATTCACTTCATTAAGATATAGTCAAGTTCTGTATTTATTTCAAGACGTGTGAAAAGCAGCAAATGAAACAACATTACTAATTCAATTGGGATTTAATCATTGAACAATATTTACACAAAATAAAACAAATTGGTTGATGCAAGTGTAGAGCTGCGCCGCTGCCGCCGCCGCCGCCGCGTGCAGCGGGAACAATGGCGTGGGGTTGCCAGATGCGACCCGCTGCCGTCAGGTTCATGTAGTCTCACGATAAATGATAAATGTGACAGAACTTACCGCTAACATTTTCACAAAGCTTATATTAACTTCAAAATAATTTTAAATTATTCATAAATCAATAATGGACATATGTTAACAATATTGTTTTATGTTCGTGAGCATTATTCTTAAATACTGAAGGAACTGCGGATGAAGAAACGGCCGAGAAATAAGAGTAGAATTGTGTTACACGTTTTCTATTTATCATGAGTTGAGAAATGTCGAAACTAAACAACAGTGGATTGTACAAATTGCAATACAATATATTCATTAACTAAATTATTGTCTGTTTTTTGTTGAATTTCAATTAACGTATTATTTATTATGCATCAATTGTAATATTACAATAATCACATCTTTGGTACTATTTACAATGGACAGTAATGTATTGAGCAAATACATTAACATTTATAAATGAAAAAAAAACATAAATTATAGTTTCAGTTCATCGAAACATAACAATATATTGTCTTTTTATAATAAAAGATACATATTGTATAACTTTACTAACAATTAGAGGAAGTAAATAAATATTCGGTAGTTTTGTAGCAACAATGTGGCAACCCCACGGCGCAGAGACATACGCACTGTATACCGAGCGCCCGCTAACCGGTAACCACTAACTTACCAAAGTTGATTGAAAGCTCGTTCTTACCTCGCTACTGTACAAAAATACATCAATTTAGTAAAGTAGTTCCGCAGACGTGACGCGACTTCGCTCTCCTTCACTTCTCTTATCTTACACATGAGCTGTCGTACACTTAACATATGTATAAGTTGAACATGAACACGACACAACATCATCGCACCGCCACACCGCCGCACCGCCGCACACATCGCGACACTGACACGCGCCTGTTTCTACAATAACATATCACTGTCTATGTAAATAATATCTTTTGTCATACAAAATATAAGATTTAGTTCGTACTCCACTTTGTCCAGCCCTCTCCTCCCCTGCCCTCCTCCACCGCTCCTCTCCTCCTCCTCCGACCTCCCGACACAAAGCACACAAACTTTATTCAGCTAATTCTTTGTATTGTCAACTTCTTAAAGTCACTCATTAACACATACAATACTTCTTATTTAACTAATAACTAAATTTATTTAAAAAATATATTACTTTCCACGTGTACGGAGGTTTTGTTAATGCATCATGTGTATGTACAGATGGTGTTGGTCCACTTCACAAACTGGATCATTTATATGTTTTTATCAGTGTTGTGGCTAATTTGTTATATATTATAAAAATAAAATATGAATCAGCACGACTCAACACAAAAGTGATAGGAAACGATAGGCAGTATTGTATTGATGGTGGACGTGAGATGGCGCTGTTTCTACACTTTTTTGCGTGTAAAAAAATAACAGGACACCCTCTACGTTCCATAGAACATCGGGAACCAGCGCTAATAAAAATAATACAGTGTAAGTGTATCGCGCTGGGGGTCGTGTGGTGGGTGCGGGGGGTGTGGGGG